TGGTAGGGAGAAACTCTGTCTTGGTCACTCATGGGAATTAAAGAGTTAAACAATAGACAACTCCACTGTTCAGTGGCTGTAAATGTACTTAAAACAGATTCCTTATATGATCATGCTATTGCTAAAGAGCAAATCACAATTAGAGCAAGATCTCATTGTTGATTCTCCTCACTGTCTCTCATACAATTTTTATGATGTTAGTTTGGAGATTTTTATACTGGATCAACTAATTATTCCCCTAATTCATATTTTTCTTTATTCTCATCACTTGTCTGCTTGATAATGTATTGATATTGTAAGGAGATATTCTATCTTGGTCATTAGTAATAAAGTGATAATAAAGCCTAAAATAACCTGATGTACCCATGCTTGTCAAGGAAAAAAGGCAACCTCTGAAAAATTCATGCTTCTTACTTTTAGTCTAATTTCACAGACACATTTATCATTGAATCTTTCTGTAATAATTCTTTATTTTACCAGCCAATCAGCCTGTGCATATTGGCCAAAGTGGTCCCCCCTCTTTTAGGAGGGGTGACTGCACACTGAATACAAGCCAATCAGTTGTCAAGGGAAAACCTTAGGTGCAACAAAAGCCAGACTAACATCTGTTCCCATGCAAAAGGAAAAATAGGGTCTCTGAAATAAGATTAACATTACCCTCAGCTCTTACTTTTCTAATGGTTATATCTTGGCTTGTTGCTGTTTTTTTTTAATACTATCAGTCAGACTGCAATTTTTCTAAAGAATACTTGGCTAACTTTCCCAAACAGAGTCCAGAAATTAACCTTATAACTCCCACAAGTGACTAACATGTAACTCCTTCATGTAATAACCATACATCATCCAATAAACAGGTGATGAGAATACTCAAATTTATCAGTTAGAGGTTGAAATCTTGGTCTAACGCCAAATTCTCATAAATCATTCGCAAGGAGATGTGTAGCAGCTTCAGAAGAGAATTAACAATCATAACTTAAACTACAGTTACTGTAGTTATTGTCAGATTTTCTCACCTATAAACAACTGTCTCGCTGGAACTCTTGGAGTAACATCTGGTACATCAATAACACCTGTATAAAGAACATTTGATCAATCTCTTTGTGATTCACAGCAAAAAGTACTAGGAAACAGCTGTCGCTTCATTAACGCGTTACACCATGGTTCACAAAGATACGACGAATTCATTGATCGATAGACTAAAAATTTGAATTATTAATACATACTGTCTATATCGAGATTATGAATGGAAGACTGATGAGGTCTGTTGGCAGCAAACCAGCTTGTCAATTTCTCGTAGTTTTGATCAGAAATCATTGGTTCTCCATCTTCATTGACTGCAGAGCGGGATGGTAGTCTTTTCAAGAAGTCCCTCAGAGTAAATTCAGGAGGTGGTCTCGAATACGAGTCTTTCACAAAAGCTTCCAAAGGCAGTTCTCTTAGTTTTCTTGGAGGTCGAAGAGGGAGAGGATCGGGTCCTTTTGTCCTAAAAGGCTTCACTAAAGACGCGATCGGCAGAGGTACATCGCCATGAAATCTCACTTCTCTGCCCGCTAAATCTGCGACTTTTGACTTAACAAGTCGCTTTGTGCTTGACACCTCGGGTGATTTTGACCACACTTTGTGATCTCTCTCCTCCGTCGAGGATTTATCTTCTGATCTGGAGCGCAGAGAGGGCGGTGGTTGTGATTTTTTAGGTGGTAAAGGCCTGCGTAAGAGAGGTATCGGTCTTGGCGAGCTAGCAGCCGCCATTATTTTGCTCTTTTCCTTTTGCCCGCTTCGCTCATTTCCATGACAACCATTATTGACGAAACTGACGAGATTTTCGTAAGTACTCGTAGTAAGTCGGAATATTGCTCGGAAGAACTCGTATATCAGACCCAGTCTCCTACGCAATTTAGCTCTTCGACCGGCTTTTTAAAGACGTAGTATGCTTTCAAAGTGACAACATCTGTGTAACGATGTCTTCCCCAAAGAGTTCTTCATGTGAAGCTAGGAAACAGAATGGTTCGCGGAAAAGAAAACGCCCTGATCCACAAGATTCGGATTTAAACGGAAGAGCTAAAAGCAAGGCTATCCGCGTGGTGAGAAATGAAAGTTATTTTTCTAAATACAGCTGAGACGCTGTAGTTTAGATCCTAGGAGAGGGGAGATTTAACGGTTTAATTTTCCTCCACAGCAAGATTGCAGCTGTTAGATTTAATATCTTTTTGCAGTTCTCTTAACAATTAGCCAAGACACATCGAGCAGTTCCGTCCGCTGCTAATGGCGGCTCGCCAATTGAACAACTTACGACAACAAAAGCTTGAACGGAAATAGACAACTTTTGTTCTTTTTGAAATTGACCACTGTACACCTTTTAAGCTTGATATTTCACTTTGTTTACAATCCATTATACATGCGCATATCGTAAGTACAGCTACATTACGCAACTAAGGTGATAAAGATTAGAGCTTTAACAGAATGGCTTTGTTGTATTGTTTTCATGCGCTTTTTATTTTTCCTCGATTCAGTCACCGCGTGAACCCGCTTTCTTGTTTGAACCAGACTTGACAATTTCGTCTCCCGAGGAGCAAGTTTCCGACAATCTAGAGCCGATTACTTTACAGGACGCAAAAGATGGAAAAGGTATGTGTGTCTTTGTTTGGGACAGACGCTTTACAATGCAAATGGTAATTTAATTTCATCTTAAACTTTCGCTTAAACAAATGCTTCCTACGTACCCGCACTTCTTCGACCAGCTGGTTTTTGAAATAACCAATTTTATACTCTACCTAATTATTGCAGTGAAAGCTTTTACTATCGATCTTTTAGTAATTCTTTAAAAATTCACTTCTTCCTTGCAGCAACAAGGCCAATTCGTGTCTATGCTGACGGTGTTTACGATGTGTATCATTTTGGACACGCGAGGGCACTGATGCAGGCGAAACAAGCTTTTCCGACAGAAGTATATCTGATGGTGGGAGGTATGAATTTTCTTAATTTATTATTAATGGAAAAATAAAAATCGCTTATCTTTTATAAACCCCTTCATTTACCAATCAACCGTGGAAAATTGTAAGAAAGGTCGTTAAAACTCTTCGATAGAAAAACGAGTTTGACCTTGAAATGTAACGCAATGCCTCGGAAGACATCAGCTGATATCAAAGTTCAGAACAATTCCCGCCTGATTTTCAGTTCAAGTCTAAAGTTCAATTATTTGGAGTTCCCACCAAATGCAGTTACTTTATCGGCCATAAAATAGACTTGAAAAAATACACTTTACTAAGAAGTTGGAAAATTGGGCATAAAGAAAACTATGCTCCCAAAAACGATTCTTCCATTGTGTATCGTTTGCCTATGTTTGATTCCCTTAAGAAAAAAATTTAAAATAAATTTTTCTGCAGCACTGAATCTTCCCCACCCTTTGTCCCAAAACTCTTGTGATCTACCTTTCCATCTTGAAGGTCAGGCCTCAAATGGATGTCTTCTTGAACATTTTAACTCTAATGAGTGACCAAGACAGAATTTCTCCTTATAATTTTGATACAATATCAAGCTGACAAGCAATGAGAATGAAGAAAAATGTCAATCAGGGGATTATTGGTTGGTCTAGAACCAAACTCTCCAAACTAGCATCATAAGAAATGTGTGACAGGAAGTAAAAGGAATTACTAGTAAGATCTTGAAAGAGAAAGGGATAATAATTTGATGCCTTCGGCAGGTAGTAGTCCTGTTTTCAAGTCGCAAGAATTATTGCTTAATTCAACTTCCCCCACAACAGGAAAATATGAATCCTGCAGAACTGTATTTGTCTAACACATACTTTGTCTCATTAAAAAATACTTTCTGAAAATAAATTTCCTTGCTGCAGTGTCTAATGACGAATTGACACACAAATACAAGGGATTCACAGTCATGACAGAGGATGAAAGATATGAATCCCTGAGGCATTGCCGTTACGTTGATGAGGTTATCTGTGATGCTCCTTGGGAAGTTACTCCTGATTTTATTGAACTCCATAAGGTATGTAGAGTAGCTGTTATTACTAATTTGTAATGAGTAAGCAAAAAGGAGCTGAAGGTGATTCCTCAAAAAAGAAGGTTATTTAACAATGTTTTAAAAATTTCCTTATATGTTTCCAACCAATTTCTGCTTTGAAAAATACCATTAAAAAGATAAATCACCGTGCTTGTTTAAGAGATATGATGGACCAAACTTATCTCATTTATACCTGTACTGGCACTAATCACACGTCTTATAACCCTTTAACTCCCAAATCAAATTTGTACTTCTCCTTACTGTCAACCATACAATTCTTATGATGTTAGTTCAGAGAATTTAGTATTGGATCAACCAATTATCCCCAAATTTATATTTTTCTTTATTCTCATCTCTCATCTCATTAATATTATATGATATTGTAATAAGAAACTCTATCTTGGTCACTCATGGTAGTTGAAGGATTAATCAGTTCACAGTACATTATGCGGGAGCTGGAAGCAAGGGTTTCTATCATAACACTTGAAAAAAACCTGATGGGTGGAAAGTCTCGAGGGTATGAAACAATTTGATACATATGATTTGTGGAAAAATCATGCAAGTTTTAACAACATTGACTCAAAATATTTCTCTAGTCATTGCTGATCAAAAAAAAAAGTAATGCATATTTTTAGTTTCATGAAAAGGGTTAACTCCCATTATATTATATCTGAGTTTTATTGTAAAAAATCTGATTTGTCAAGAGCATTCAATCACTATACAATAGTGTGTAAAGTTGAAATGATAAAAGCCGTATCTGTGGCAGATATTGTATTTATCATATCTTGTATACTCAGTTCATATCTCACAGTGTGGACCTCGTGCTTGGTTAGTAAGAGGTATATATTTTCATATGGCTCCAAAACCATTGTTTATTGGATTTATTTTTTCAGATTGATTTTGTCGCACATGATGACTTACCTTACAAGAGTGCTGGTGCTGATGACATTTACAAGGAGGTCAAAGCCATGGGGAAGTTTGTGGCCACTCAAAGAACAGAAGGAATTTCCACATCGGACCTGATTGCAAGGGTGGTCAAAGATTATGATGTTTATGTCAGGAGAAATCTCGCAAGAGGTTACACTGCTAAAGAACTGAATGTCAGCTTTATTAAGGTAAGTGTCACTGGAAAGGTTCAGTATGTTTTGCTATCCTTTGCTAGTTTTATAATTATTTCTATTTTTTTGAAATTGAAGAAAAAAGTTAGTTGAATCAGCTGCAGTCTGTAAGAGATTAACAGCTAACTTCTCTCCACAATATTCATACATTGTCCTGCAAAAAGGTTGTGAGAAAAGAAAAGACAAGCCTATCAGCTTAAGGAAATTTTTGTAATGAGAGACCAAATTCTCTTACCTCATTGACAAAAGATGTAGAACACCCAGAGAAGAGAATTGCTTAACCATTCACTCCCAGAAGTGATTAACACATAACTTCTCCCCATAATATGCATACATTATCCTGCAAAAAGGTAATGAAATTACTCAGACTTATCAGGAAGAGCTTGTCATTTTGATCTAACACCACATTCTTGTAACTAATTTACAAGGAAATGTGTCACAGCTATAGAGGAGAATTAACAATCAGATCTTAGGAATGAAAGGGTTAATTATATCTTGCACTTGACTTACAGGAAAAAGAGGTTCAGGTCAGGCAGAAAATGGATGAGATCAAAGGGAAACTAACAGACAAGTCCCAGGAGGTGCTTCAAAAGTGGGAAGAAAAGTCGAGGGATTTTATAGGCAGCTTTATCGACATGTTTGGAAGGGATGGTCGATTGGTAAGCCTGGTGAAATCTTTCTCTAAAACAAACATTTTTCATGAGGATGAGAACAACAATGGTGCCTCTAAAAGTGGTTAACAATTTGATTACTCTTAAACAGTGATCTCCCTGGTTTTAAGCGCAACTGGTTAAAGAAATCTTCATACTCATAGAGCAATCCTTTTGCCTGTTGAATTGTTAATCATTCCAATCGATTTTAGGGGGTAAAAAGAGGAACTACATTCAGTAAATTTTACTGGTTACCACTTGAAAAAGAGAACACTGGTTAGGATAATTTGGTTTTATCAACTGAATTGTTAACCCTTTAATCCCCATGAGTGACCAAGACAGAATTTCTCCTTACAATATCAATACAGTATCAACCAGATAAGTAATGAGAAGAAAGAAAAATATTAATTTGGGGATAATTAGTTGATCCAATACTAAATTCTCTGAACTAACACACAAGAAGTGTATGCTTGGAGAATTACAAATTTGATCTGGGAGTTAAAGGGTTAATGCAAATTGGCAATTGTGAAGAGTTTCAAAGCAGATGTTTTGCAAGCCCTTTGTCTTTTGCTCTGACAAAAGGCTAACACTTGCATCTAAATTCTCCTTACAGTTTTACCACTGAATCACACATTAATGTCATGAGAATGAAAGAAATGATCACCAACTAAAGAAAACTCTTGATTGTTAGACAAATTCTCCTTGCGTGCTCCTTAGTAAATGTACACATAACAGTATGGAGAATATGAATACTGATGTTAGGGTGGAAAGGGTTAACTGCTAAGGATAGAGGGCTGATCCCCAAAAATGCAATCTCGGGAGACCAAATTTTTCTTTTATTCTTTGTGTTTGTCTGATTGCCTTCTATAATTGCTTTAATAACTAAACATTTAAGCAGTGAAATACTTTGCTGGTAAAATTCAGGAATGTCAGTTTTAAAATATTCTTATATTAGCATAATTAATTGTTAAAATATTGTTAGAATGATTTATAAATTATGAAACAAGTGTTTAAATTAATAAATATGTAGCATTTTGTAGTTTTTAGCTTTTTGGTGAATTTATTTAATCCAATGGTGAAATTTCACCTCACTTTCTACCTTTTAATTACAGCCAAGTAAATGTTTTTTAAATTATGATATTTTTGACCACTTCGTCTCATCTGGTAACCCCCTCGCCAAGAAATTGATTAAAATTCATTTTGTTGTTTTTATGCTTTTTTTTTGCTTTTTTTAAACTTGGTTTCTTTGAACTATTGATGATAAAACCTAATCTAAACTACCTGAAAGTTTGTAAATTATTGTAGTAGTTTCAAGACATATGGTTAAACCTCTAGGTATTTGACAAACTTTAAAAACTAGACACTTTTTTATTTTAATACCTTTAAAACTCTGATGTTAAAGTTGAAAGGAGCTTGAATGTTGACCTGAACAAGATATGTTTTCTTAAATTGATATTTCTTATAAGTAATTTATACCTATGATTAAAAAACAAAAATTCATGAATGATTACCTAAAAAGAAAAACCAAGCCTTACTTGAATTTAATGATAATTTTTGTGGTAAAGTTGATGTAAAGTTAAACAATAAAATTAACCTTTTTTGAATGAGGTGCTGAATTTGAATTGTTAGTGAATGGATTCTTTACCAATCCTTTTTAGAAATAACATTTAACCCAAATAATATTACTATAACAGTTAAACTTTTCATTCCTTGAGTGCTTCTGTGAGAAGAGGTGTGTTTACAACAGTCAAGTCGTTTCTTCTGTTAAAGGTACTTTTGACTTAAAATACAAACAAATATTTAATTTTGTTTGTTTGTTATAAAGATTAAAATTTGTTTTTTAAATTATCTGTAATCAGTAATGAAGTGAACAAAATTGAAGTAACTAATATTTTGATATCCATGTTTACTGAGGGAGATGACAATAGTTTTTTTTGTGCAAGCATAATTATTATAATATGTTTTAGTTTCTTGCTGGCTAAATTGACTGCTTTTTTTAATTCTTGTTGCAAGCAATTTTCTTTCTGTGCTTAATTCTATATTACTACTATTAGTCATATTTATACCCATGTACGATTATTTCAGTAACATGAATTTATATTTTTCTTGTGTTTGACAGAACCAGTTGTTTGGCAAAGGCAAAGACACTATATTTGATGCAGGCGCACGTATCAAGGGGGCTGGAGTCAGAATAAAGAGGGCGCTGTCACCAGGACGAAACATAGACCCAGTGCTGGATGTGTCTCCATCTTGTTCTCCTTCATCATCACCCAAATTTCCCCACCTGTCTCTTCAGCCGGAAATTAGTGACGATGAGGATGATGGCATTGATGATGGTAGTAACATGCCAATTTGATTGGTTAAAATAAGAACACAGTCATTCAATTAACTAAATTATATTTGTTATTGTTAATAGAAATTTATCGATAAAATTGAATTATTAAATAGCTATAATGTATTAATTTTGATGAGGATGATGGCATTGATGATGGTAGTAATGTGCCTATTTGATTGATTTAAATAGGAACACAGTCATCCTATTGACAAATGTTACTTGTCATCGTTAATGGCAATTTATCAACAAAATTGAAGAATTAAATATATCATTTTTTTATCATTCTTTCATGGTGATGAAGGAGAAAAGTTGATTTCCTCTCCAGATGTTTTTGTTTTTTGGGTGATAATTGGCCAATTGAGGCTGGTATGGATTTACCACAAAACATGAAAAGTGTATTAGAAGAAAGGAAAACAGAAGAATGTAACAGTTAGCCCTTTAACTCCCAAGATCTGATTGTTAATTCTCCCCTCCAGCTGCTACACATTTCTTTGATAATTATTTAGGAGAATTTGGTGTCAGATCAAGATAACAATATCAAACTGATAAGTTTGAATATTCTCATCAACTGATTGCTGGATAATGTGTGATAATTTAGGGAGAAGTTACATGTTAATTACTTCTGGGAGTTAGAGGGTCAGAAGATAGCAAGGGTTCTATTTTAGTTTTATCATTTTTGCTTATTTATGCCAACATTGTGAAAAACAAACAAATTTGATCTTTTGTGCTATTTTCTAAGCTGTAAAAGTCCTCTGAAATGTGAGGCCAAATGCAAAATGTTTCATTTAAAGTTGAGTTCCATTTGGATGAGATTATAAAACTATTTTTCCATTGAAATCTCCGTCATTAGCCTCAATCTAAACCGAAGGCTTCAAGAATCTTAGAAATGGCTGACTGGCCTTAGCTCTGTTCATCATTTTGGTCTCAGATAAGCCTGGGAACAAAATTAATCTGTAGTTAATTGAAACTAACATATTTGAAAAAAAAAACAAATTAAGGATTTAATCATTTGATATATATTTGCAAAAGAATGAGATATCTACAAAATTTGAAATACACAAAACAATTTTTTAAAGATATGTTTGGACATGGCTTGTGTCATCTTGAGTGTAATGAAAGCTTGAATTTGTCATGGTGATGCAAAGATATCCAAACTCCAAATATGAAAATGAACTTGAATATGTTGTGGTTATAATTGTAGTGTTTCTTGCTATTTAGAGAATTTTCCAAAGCAGCTTGTGTTTTTTTTTTCCTCTGTCTCTTCTTTAACCAAAATTAAACAAATGACAAATGACATGAGTTAATTATTAACCTAGTTTTGAACAATTTTGACCAAAGGAAAATTGAAATAAAAGCAGATGTATCTTAAGAGTTACAATAATAAAACTCAACAAAATATATCTGCGAACTGTGTTACTAGACTTTCACATTGTATTGGTTTGTTTTTTATTTGTAGCTTGTGTATGTACGTATTGGTACATTATAAAATCAATTATTTGCTAAAACAAAAGATGGCATAGGAGACACATCTTTAAGAAGAGATTTCTTGTTTTTTAGATGTCTTTTTATTATTTCGCTTGTAGATGTGTACACTTTTGTGCATAGGATGATCACTAGTATCATCATCATCATTTTTGTTATTATTATTATTATTATTATTATTATTATTGTTGTTGTTGTTGTTGTTAATGATTTCACAAACTGGCTCTTCACAACATGTGTAGTTACTATTTGAAGCCCTGAAAAAAATCAAAGGCTATCTTTCATACAGATGATTTAGGATTTTCCAATTCTCATACAAAGTCAATACAAGTAACCACTAATGAGTGGAGTTTGTTTTTACAAACAGCACAATAAGTATATTGTAACTAGCATGATCTATGAAGTAATTCTCTTTCTTGATTGGTGGATGATGTACTGATGTCTTAGGGAGAAGTTAAATGTTAATCTTATCTAGGAGCCAAAGGGTTTATTGGCTAAATTAAAACACATTATAGAATCTTTGTATTGTAACTGTGTGGAACTAAGTTCACAAAAAATTATTGATAATTGTTTGAAACTCCATTAAACTTATTTTCTATATAATCTCTTTGTCAAACTGACAGAAAATTAAAAAATAGTCAGTATTGACGATGTGTCGTAAATATTTTATTTCTGTTCCCAAAGATTCTCAAATTCACATCTTTTCTTTCCCTTCTGGTTTTTAAAACATCAGGATATTAAATAGCAATTCTTAAGGTGTGTCGTAAAGATTTAATTTCTTTATTTAAGGGAAATTTGACGCAGTACACTAGATCGCTCAGAAGATTGTGCTTTTCCTAGATATCAGTCGCTTATAATCCCTTTTAGCACCTGTTAGCGGCATGACGAGCTTTGCCGGGCGGAAAAGTCCTAACTCTTATTTAGAGGTCACAAGAAGATGAATTGTTTATAACGCGGAATATACATTTTCTCGCGTCCATTATCGATATCCTCATTCCCCGTTTTTGTAACTTCCTGAAACCGAATGTGTTTCTGGTACTTGCCCAAAAATTAAGCGTAGGAGCGAATATCAGGCCGTTAGAGCTACTGCATTTCGTTCATTCCAGTTGCGGATTCCTTGTTTCCTGAGATGCAAAATTTCCAGGAAAACCCGACGAAGCTGCCTGCTTCGCCAGCAGTAAATTACAGAGTTAACAAGAGAAGCTAACAAAACCACTCACATTTCAATATACTGAGACTGCTCAAAAAATACTTTTCCATGATCATGGGTTCAAAAACAGCAGTTCGTTTACTCACAATAGATTTCCTTAATTTCTAAATTAAGTGTTACAAATGATTTCTCGTCAATTATTTCAATATACTGAGACTGCTCAAAAAGTACTTCTTTATGTTAAGGAATCAAAAGACAGCCGATCATTTTCTCGCAATAAATTTGTTAATATTAAGAAAACTTAAGCGCGGACAACTGTCAAGTCGCAAATGTTGAGCAAAAAATCATTTTTCCGGCTTCGAATCGAAACTAAAGCACTCAATTACTCCTGGTTCGATTCTAACTTTAATGTCTCTGGAACATCACGAGTATAATTTGACATTTTCCCCGTTGTGTAATCCAATATTTTAATAACGTTATTCGGTTTAGTTTAATATTCCCGTTGGTAAGCTTCTTTATTTTCGCAATTGGCTCAATTCTCGGTTGTTTATTTTCTTGTTACGAGTTTCACTTCAAGAAAAAAAGGAAAACCAACGAAAGCAAGAGTGCAAATACTATCGCAGTTAACCCTTTTTCCCCCAAGAGTGACTAACATCTAATTTCTCCTTACAAAATCACCCCTGAATCACACATTGAGGTCACAAGATTAAAGGACATGATCACCACCTAGAAAAGCTCCTGATCGTTAAACGAATTCTCCTCGTCAGCACCTTAAGGAATGTGTAGGAAACAGTATGGAGAATTTGCATACTGATATTTAGGTGTAAAGAGTTAAGTTTCTGGATTAGCAAAACTTAAGAAGAATAAAAGTTACAATGATCGTTATCAACACCAGCAGAGTGATGGTTCCATAATGCATTAGGGGAGTGATGGGAACAGAACGCACAACTTCTTTCGCCTTGTTCCACTTGTGCGGACCTTGTAGTCGCCATTGCGCTGCCCCACAAGAACCTACGATTAAATTCCAAGCCAAGGATGGGTGTCTCCACAACTGCGGCTTTGCACCGAAATAAGACGCAATCTCGTCAATGTAAGGAATGGGGTCTTGTTGAATGGTATGCCTTGCCGAGGCGTAGTAAGTGCTCTCACTTCTCTGCTGGTCTTGTTTCATGTTGTGGAACATTTTCTCTGCCGATGGAAGTTTGGTTTTTCCTTTGCACAGCTCTGAAAACCATCGAGCTTGGATTTCAGAAACTGACAGTAAACCACCAGAAGCTGGCTGCGTGAAACCTATGAAAGCCAACGAAGCTCCAATTTCTGGAGCGAAAACATTTTTGAAAAGCTTAATTCTGTTGCTGCTTTCCTCTAAAACTTGATCTTTAATTTTGTTATCTAAAAATGGCAAATCAATATGATACCCAGTGCAACAGACTATTACATCTGATGCTGCTTTAGTTCCATCAGTAAAAACAACATCGTTTCTTTCTAATGCTGCAATATTAGGCTTAACTTCAATGTTCCTTCGCTGGATGTGATGAATCAACGTTGGGCTCACGGTGGGCTGGGTTTGACGAGCTTTCATTTTGGGGTTTAAATTCCAGCGCCAAGGGCTTCCCACTACACTTTGAATGATCAACTGAAAGACAAAATTTGACAAGCTCCATGGAAGCCAGAAGAAAAAACGACATGCGTAATGATCAGTAGGGTAGCCATGAACGTAGTTGGGTACTACCCAAGCACCAGATCTTGTGGAAATACAGACGGGTTTTTTCCTTCCCAATTCTGCTACATTTACTGCAACATCTACAGCACTATTACCAATACCTACAACCACAACTTTCTTTTCCATGAGCTCATTACTGATTGCATCTTTATAGTCTATACTATGCAGAATTTGGCCACTGAATCTTTCCTGACCATCAAAATGAGGAATGTTTGGTTTGGCATGATGCCCAGTTGCTATGGCAACAAACTTAACAAATGTTTCCTTGTAACCGCCTTGATGCGTTCCTGCATCGTCAACTTTCACCGATTTTATTTTCCATCCTTCAGGGAGTTGTTCAATCCGAGCCACCTTGGTTTTGAAACTGATGTGATCTCGGATACCAAAATGTTCAGCATAGCTGTTGATATATTCTGCCATGTGCGAGTGATGAGGATAATCAGGAATGTCATCAGGAAATGGGAAGTCAGAGAAACAGTAGTTGTGTTTTGAGACATTTCTGTAAAACAAAAATTCTGAGTTGAGAATTTAGTGAATCACGCAAGTAAGAGATATGCCAGTAATCAAACTTTTAACTGAAGGGGTGCACAGAAATAGATACCCCAAGTAACTTAACCCTTTAGCTCCCAAGATCTGATTGTTAATTCTCCCCTCTAGCAGCTACACATTTCCTTATAAATTAGTTACAAGAATTTGGTGTTTGATCATGACAACAACTTCTTCCTGATGAGTTTGTGTATTCTCATCACCTGTTTGTTGGATAATACATGGATAATATAGGGAGAAGTTACATATTAATCACTTCTGGGAGTTAAAGGGTTAAGATAGACTGCTGGATTCTCCTTTTAAATTGGTTTATAATCCCTTATGAAACAGAAGGAGAATTAGATGGTGCATCTTAAGTCAGTTTACCCTTTAACTCCCAAGATCTGATTGTTAATTCATCCCTCTATCTGCTATACATTTTCTTGTACATCAGTAGCAAGAATTTGGTTTTAGATCAAGATAGCAACTTTGAGCATTCTCATTGCTTGTTTGCTGGATAATATATGGATATCATACAAAGAAGTTACAGCTGAATCACTTTTGGGGGTGAAAGAGTCAAGGCTTTTTTTCTGCAGACCCCTGCTATTAGTAGAGAAAATAATCTGGATTTGGATAGTTTCACTTCATTCAGTGAGTCAAGAAAATTTGCGCCACCTTCTTGACCAATCAGAAGCAAACTGAAGCCCACAGCCATTTGGTCACTTACAGGGGTGGAGAGGGAGAGGGAGGGTTTGTCAACCAAATTAAAAATAATCATTTTTCAGACATCGACATTGTTATTTATCTTCAGAGATAAATACTCTCACTAACTGAGTTTGAGGTTGATACTATAGGTGATGGATCAAGTTTTTCTGCATGGATTTATGGCCTAAGAGCAAAGTATGCAGGCCATAAGTTTCAAAACAATTAGTAAACGTCAATTTAGTGCGCTGTAAAGTGAAATATGGCCCAGTTAAGAGATACAATAAATAAGAGAAAAATACACGAGTGCATGAAGATACGGAAATTCTCTGCTCATGTTTAACTTGATATCTCCCAAATGACATATTAAGAGGAACTATGGAAGAGAAATTACATTTCTTCAAGCAACCATGTATTCTTTTGTTTATAACATAAACACCATAGGCCTTTACCAAAAAGAGAAGTTGACTTCATCAATAAATGAACTGGCACAAAAGGTGAGTGATGTGTTAGCAGCTTATTGTGGTTTTACATGTGTGCAGTAATAGCATTTCTCAGGAATAGAAATCCTTATAAAACACTGCAGTTCATACAATAAATCATGTTATTTTTCCAACATACATATGTGTGAATCGCATTACTCCATATCCATGCTCTGTGAAGTGCCACAGACCTCCGATATGGTCAGTCTGTTCAAAAACAATGATCTTGAACTTGTCATCCAACAGGCATTTTGCTGTAGCTATCCCAGAAATCCCTGCACCAATGACTGCAACATCATAGCCTGAATGACTGCTCATTTTTCTGTCCTTCAAAGTTACATGAAAATGCAGTGTTTAATTGATTAATGACTAAAAGTGATCAGGGAAGAAAAATAGGTTAACTGTATTTCCTCCGAGAAGTTACATGAAAAAAATACTCAGTTCTGATTGGTTAGGATAAATGCAGTTTTCAGGTAATTCAATGCAGAAGAGGGTTAATTCAGTGCAAAGAAGTAACAAACCAGACTGAACTGTTTAGCCAGACTTTGATTTTTTTTTTCATCTTTAAGATGTGAAAATATCATTATATATTATTGTTTTGATCATAAGCAGTTGTTTTGACCAAATGCACAATTTCACTTGCAGGGTTTGAATAAATCATTTTTGTGCTTGATGCGCACTCTTTGCTTCTACATAATTATCATAAGCTATCTTGTATTTTTCATGTATATTATTAATATGTAATTACATGATTTTTCCTGTGCAATTTTGAATAAATAAACACTTGTAAATTTTTGCAAAGACCACAAATTGGACTTGCCCTATGGCCTTGTGGAATTTTTTTAGTCTTTGAAAAAATTCACTCACACTTATTTATCCCAAATTGCACTCAAAATCATGTGATTACCTATACAAACAAATGCCCAAACTTTAATAAGCACTTCCACTTAATAAGCATCCATCCCCTTAAACAAGATAATTTTGGTATTATCAACCGAGTTGATAATTAATGTAAATTGGCCACCATGAAGAGTTTCGAAGCTGACAGTTTGAGTGTTTGCCCTTCATCACAACAAAGCATTAGCCTTTTGTCTTTGGCTCTGACAAATGGCTAATGCTTTAAACATTAGCTTCGAAACACTTTATGGTGGTCAATTCACATTACCAACCTAGCTGATAAAAACAAAATTGTCTTGTTGAAGGGGTTCGGTGCTTATTCATAAGATTGAACGAGTGCCCCTCTAGACAAGCACCGACCTCCCTCCCCTCCTAGGGATACAAGAAAAACTTGTTTCTATTTGTCCTGTTATTTTTAAATTTTTAAGCTGCAACTACAAACACTGGAGAATCATAAGCACCCCCTTGATTCCTTCCAATGAGTGTCCCTCCTTTAAGCCGAAATTTTAAATAAGTGCCTAGGTGCTCATTCCAGGAAGTATGGAATAAGCACCCATACTATTTCAATTTCACATGCATCATATTAGGAGATGGGATACTGCCAATTTCGCAAACCCTGATCGTGAAGACTCTCAAAAAATGAACACCAGCTTCATCAGATATTAAACTTTAAAACAAAGGACGATAAAGAATAATTTTGGATATAGAATACACATGAATGTCTGATTGAGTACTTTCTCATAGAAAGCATGAATGAGTTTAAGTTTTAGTGGCCCTGTCCTCGTACTCTCCTCTGGTAATACATGGGAAATAGAACCTGTATCTGAGAAATAACTACGAAGGTCTTTCTGTAAATTTGTCCCCACTGGATCAATAGTCGTAATCGATCGTAACGACTATGGAAACTAAGCCAATTTTGTCATTCACGACTCAGCTGAGAGCGAAACTCAATCGAGTCGAACTGTTGGTTGGCCATGGAACGTCCTGATAATCTAACTAATTGGAGCAATCGGGACGATTCGGACGATCGAAAAACCCTCACCTTATGCGTAGGCGAAAGCCAAATGCACTAAATCGACGATAAGACAAACAGATAAAGAGGAGATGGACCGCAAAGAAACTGTGATCACCTATCTTTGAGACTCGTGACCAACTTTCCCTACCCTACTTGGTACAAATTTTACGTACCCTCACCATATTTGGAAGTCATCAATCCATCTTAAAACTTTCGCGCCATTTACAAGCTATTTCAAGATGGCGCCAACTTCAACTGGAGAGAGCACCACAACCACAAACCAAGATGGTAAAATTCTACCGTATATATTCATCTATGTTTGGTCTTTCAACATTAATTATTCACATTTCTGTCACTTGATTTAGCAGATTCCCAATCGACACGGCGATCTACTCGAACTGTCAAGCGCAATGCTGGAAAAACCTCGGCGCTCGATAAAATAAGGTGAGAGATTTTGCGATCAAAAATTCTTCTCGTGTTTACTGGTTTTTGCCATTTGTCTCGGGTGCAAAATGAATCAACTTTATTCTTAATTCTTCACCAGAAAATTTCGTGAGACTGGAGAGAGATCAACGTTTGAGGTACAGAGTTAACTGCACGTATAGTCCGGCCATGTAATGATCGATAATTCTAAATAGTTTTTGATTTCTTTCATCGATGTTGTACGTTTCTACGATTTATCGTGATTTTGAACCAGCTATAGAATACAGGCTATTGAGATATTTGACATCGTTTTCTCTGATTTGATCGAAGACTGGATCGGATGAAAGCTGGGAGACCGTCAATTTATATTTCGTCTTGAAAATAATTGATAAAATTTCCGCAGAGCTGTGTGGAAACTTAACCTTAACTTCCAAGATCTGATTGTTAATTCTCTCTTCTAGCTGCTATACATTTCTTTGTAAAGTTGTGACAAGAATTTAGTGTTAGATCAAGATAACAATTTCTACCTAATAAGTTTGAGCATTTTCATTACCTGTTTGCTGGCCAATGTATGGATATTTTAGGGAAAAATTACTTCTTAATCACCTCTGGGAGTTTAAGAGTTAAAGAGAGAGAAACTAAAATTTATTTCTTATTCAGTTCTTATCACATCTAAGGGATGTTACTTTAACCCTTTGCATCCTAATATCAGTATGCATATTCTCCACACTGTTCTCTATACATTTTCTAAGATGCTGACATGGAGAATTTGTCTAACAATCAAGAGCTTCTTTGGTCGGTGATCAGCTCCTTTATTCTCCTGACCTTAAAGTTTGATTCAGGGGTGATATGGTAAAGAGAAAATAGATGCTGGTCACTTTAGATGTTAAAGGGTTAAGAGGACTTCCCTCTCCCTCCCCTCTCATCCTATCCTCCAAGGAATGATATATTTAAAAAGAAATCTCCCAAACTTTTCCATATATTTCTTTGGATTAAGTTCACAAGAAATATTGTGGCTAATTTCCTTTTCTGTGACTATCTGTGTAATTTTAACATAAACCATTGTCTTAGAGAAGACTATACTGCTGTGGATTCAATACATGTGTTTCCAGAATTGAGACTCATGTTTTCCTCACTAGGTTGGAAACCTTGATGATGTTTATCAGGTGGTGAATGAAGATGAATACTCTGACATTGTTAGAAAACGACAGGAGGATGACTGGGTGGTTGATGATGGTAAGAGCTGTGTCTGTGATTGTGAGGAATAGTTGTCTTTCAAGGTTCTTGTTGAATTGTATGGTAAACACCAAACTTAAAGTAGGGTCATGCATTGCAAAACCTTTTAACAGACCAATTCATGTTTAAAAATTTTTTGGATCCTTCTAGCCAAAGACAAGGGTATAAAATAATATTTTTTCTTTATCTCTGCTTCTTAAGACACCATTGTGGAGTAAATGCAAGGGATCTTTATCATACACTATGAGCAATGTCTTTTCTGCTCTTGGATTGTCTGCGTACATGATGGTTAAATGTGTTTTTGTTTTCAGATGGGACAGGATATGTGGATGATGGACGAGAAATATTTGATGATGATCTTGATGACGAGCCGCCAACTGGTCAGTTGATAAATAATTAATAATTGGTCATTGATGTTTAATATATTTTTAATTTGTGTATAATAACTTCCAGTAGTCATTTACTGAAAGCAGTTTCAATTTTTTCAGGAAAGAATGTCCCCAAATTCAAGCCAAAGAGGCCGGTATGGTGGAACTTGTTGATTGTTGATTGTTGTTGTTGATATTTTTCTAATCCTATTGGGATGGGGTGGGAAAGGGGGCCAGTGAGGGGAGAGGAGGGGGGCACTTGGCTGTGTGATTCTCAGACCATCGCAATCTGACCCTGGTCAACCCAAAATTTTTTCATTTTGTCACACTGTTCAAGACAGCCAATCAGGTATAGATTTTGGTGATTGCCCTCAGAAGCCACATTCAGCTTATTGAGACAGCCTGAATATTTTCAATTTTCGTTGTAGTTTGGTTGGCTCAGGTTGTTGAGCGTTCAACTGCTGTGTAGAAGATGAAGGTTTCACGTCACAGACTGTACCAACACTCAGGGTCTTAAAATAACTATAGAGAATGTGCTGCCTTTTCTATGACATCTGGTTAATCATAACCATTACAATTTCCTCACTAATCATTCTGTAATTATAATCGGACAGTTGGCTGCAATAATGGGATAGTTGGCTGTAATTGGACACCTGTAATTGGACAGTTGAAGCAGCCAATCATACAAAGTCCACTCAGCCAAATCCACCAATCACAGAATTAATCACAATAACCATAACCATAGCAATAACCACTTATTATAAAACTGAGGAATTTCCAAAATCTATAAATTTCTTTTTCTTTAGGCATTTGTCTCTAAATGAAATTGTTGTTTTTGGGAATTGTAACGGTTATGATTGATTAGTAACAGGACTTCCTGTTGTCCAATTCTGTCTGTAATCGTACTTGTGATTGACAAATTGGACTCCCATTTTGCAATCCAATTTTGTTAATCTCTGGTATGATTATAGATGAAATTGGACTCTACTCTGTCTTATTACCATTATTAATCATTCTAGTCTTCATGGATAGGGATGAGAAATCGTTTCTTTCTCCTGCATATTCTCTGTACTGGTTAGCAGGTGACTTTATAGAACCACTCACTTTTCACAAAGAGTACAGATCCTAGCTCCTGGTTTTGTGGTCTGGCATTGTTTCCCAAATTAGAGGCACATGCAAATCTTTTTTAAAAAGAATTGTGAACTGTGCAATGCAGTCTTGCCAAAGTACCCTGGAAAATGTTATAAAGTGCATCAGAACATTAATAGGGGTTATGGGTTACAGAAATGCCTCATCATTTTTATTGTGATATTGCCTAATAGTTACTCCAACAAGTTACATTTTATCTGATTATTTAAAGAACGTGAAAAAGCCAACAGTGAAACCAAAGACAATTAACAAGATGTTGCTGGCTGCAAGTGCCAAAGCAAAGAAAGTCAAGGTTAGTGGGGTGAACATAGTTTTTTCACCTATGACTTTGACCTTTAGTAGCAATATTAATATGTGTTCGTGTGGTCTGGCTGTACTAGCAAGAGGAATAGTCCTGGGAAGGACTGTCGTCAATAGTAGTGACTGAGGTTTTAACAACTTTATTTAAAGTCATCATCAGAGTCAAGTGTTGAGTTGTTGTCACTGTTGTCACTGTACCTTTAATTATAGTTAATTTAT